TGTGTGGCATTTTCTCTTTTGTTTTGAGAGTTACCGTACATTTTGTAAATTTCTATTTTTATTTATAAATACAACCATACTTATTACATTTTCCATTTTGTTTTTATATATACATATATTTTTAAAGATTTTATTTATTTATTTGACAGAGAGAGACACAGCGAGAGAGGGAACACAAGCAGGGGGAGTGGGAGAGGGAGAAGCAGGCTTCCCGCCGAGCAGGGAGCCCGATGCGGGACTCGATCCCAGGACCCTGGGATCATGACCTGAGCCGAAGGCAGATGCCTAACGACTGAGCCACCCAGGCACCCCTTGTTTTTAAATTTTCATGGGTGTATATTGCGACCTCCTTAGGATTTCGCTTTGCTTTTCTTGATGATGAACAAGGTCGAGCACCTTTTGAGGTGTTGTTAGTATTGGCCGTTCGGGGATCTTTTTTGTGAAATGTCTGTTCAAGTCTTTTGCCTTTTTTTTTTTCCTAAGGAGTCACCCATATTTTTCCTACTGACCTACAGGAATTCGTTATTTATATGGCTATGTTTGTCTCTCTAGCCCCAAGCCCAGCACATTGTCCATCTCCCAGTCTTAACAGTTCTGTTGTTGAGGTTGCTGTTGAATGAATGAGCACGGAAAAGGAGGCAGGGGACCGTTGACGAATGAATGAGGCCTTTATAGATCCTTGTTTACATTTTGGTTTATGTAACAGCTTTATTGAGGTATAATTTACATACCAAAACCTTTCCTTGTTTTAAGCGTGCAATTCAATGATTTCCCGAGTTGTGCAACCATTACCACAATTAAATTTTAGAGCATTGTCCACATCCCAAAAAGAAACCTCGGGACCATTTACTTATTCCCTATTCTTACCCCCAACCCCGGGGCAACCGCTAATCTATTTACCGTCTCTTATAGATTTGCTTTTTCTGAGATTTTCTTCTAAATGCAATCGTACAATATATAACTTTTTTTTAATTAATTAATTTATCTTTGGTAATCTCTACACCCAACGTGGGGCTTGAACTCATGACCTGAGATCAAGCGCGGCATGCTCTTCTGACTGAGCCAGCCAGGTGCCCCACAATATGTAGCCTTTTGTATCTGGCTTTTTTCACTTTGTGTAATGTCTTTGTGGTTCCTGCATGTTGTAGCCTGTGTCAGGACTGCGGTCCTTTCTTGGCTGAGTGAATATTCCATTGTATGGGGGCGCCTGGGTGGCTCAGTCGGTGAAGCGTCTGCCTTCGGCTCAGGTCATGATCTCAGGGTCCTGGGATCGAGTCCCGCATTGGGCTCCCTGCTCAGCGGGGAGTCTGCCTCTCCCTCTCCCTCTCCCCCTCCACCCTGCTCATGCTCTCACTCTCAAATAAATAAATAAAATCTTAAAAAAAAAAAGAATATTCTACTGTATGGGTCTACCACGTCTTGTCAATCTATTCATCAATTGATGGATAGTTGCGTTATTTCCACTTTTTGGCTATTCTAAATAGTGAATACCGCAAGTTTTTGTGTGGCCGTTTGTTTTCATTTCTCTTAGGTAGATACCTAGGAGGGAATTGCTGGGGTCATATGGCAAATTTGTGTTTTACTTAATTTAAGAAATGGAAACCCTGATATTTATTTCTCTGCCATCCATAGGCTGATGATGGAAAGGCATCGAAGACTGTCTTGGATAGAAAAGAAATCCCCGCCAGCCCATAGTTATCAAATAAATGCACAGTGTCGAGAGAAAGCTAAGAAAGAGAGACTAAAGCCTGCTTTTAGGAGTTTATAGTCTAATCCAGATGTTCTAACACATGTGTTTATGGGAGTAACTTGGCAATATGGGAAATCTGAAAATGAGCAGGGGTTCAAACCTGCTCATATTGCAAAATGAATTCAGGAAGTACCAAATGCCTACTTTTTTTTTTTTTTTTTTGCAAGACTCAGTGTTGGTCTTTAAGAGGGGAAGATGGAAATTAAAACAAACGTACTTTCCCTCCCCTGAGTTACTAAGAGACTACTCAGTAAAATAAGACTTAGTTTCAAAGAAGTTAAATAAGTAAAGATTTCAAATAGAATTTTAAGATAGTAATAGAAGATCAGGGGAGGGATCAGGGAGCCCCTGGGTGGCTCAGTCGGGTAAGTCAGTCATGACTTCGGCTCAGGTCATGATCCCGGGGTCCTGGGATTGAGTCCCGCATCGGGCTCCCTGCTTAGCAGGGAGCTGGCTCCTCCCTCTGCCTGCCACTCCCCCTGCTTGTGCTTGCGCTCTCTTTCTCTCTGACAAATAAATAAAATCTTTAAAAAAAAAAAAGATCAGGGGAGGAGGAAGGCAAGGGAGAGGGGTATTAGATGACAGAGAAACTCATCTTCCCTTCACGATCTCGTGAGAAAACAGAAACCCAGAGTGTGTTTCTTTAACATTTACGGCATCCCAAAGATAAAAGTTCCCACTTATTATTGCCTTGGAAATCTTAGTGCGAAAAAAGTGTTAGATAATAAACAACCAGGACCATTGGACTAGATCGATAATAACTGCTAATATTTGAGTACTTAATATGCCAGGTATTGGCATAGTTTACATTTTTACTTATTTAATCCTCTTAAAAACAATGATATAGACACTCCTACCATCTTCTAATGGTGAGGAAAATGAAGCTCAGAGAGGTTGAGTTAGTTGCCCAAGGGCACACAGCTAGAAAGTGGCAGAGTTGAGGTTTGAGTACAGGGAGGCCAGAGAGGACACACTGAGCTACTAACTGCGTTTAACCATCTCAAGTCCCGTATTCCAGCTACTGGATTCTGGTGTTGTCCAAGTTACTTCATGAATAAGAGATCAGGGACAGCAGTTCCCCTGACTGCTAGGCCAGTCAATTCTGTCCAGACTGACCTTAGGTATCGACCAGAGAGCCATTATCAATCTTGGTGCTGCAGAATCATCTGGGGCAGGTCACTTGGAGCTGGAGTGTTTGGGATGCCCTGTACGCTGAGATTTCTCAAAAGCCAAACTGGGTCACAGGTGGCTAACAGGCACCATGGCAAATTCGGAGTTGCAAGAAGGCTCTGGACTGGCTGTCCTCAATTGAGTTGGGCCTTATCATCAGGTATGACACCTGGGGTCAGTCTGCTAACAGTCACATATCCTTCCCGATACAAGGACTTTGAGGCCCTTGTCACTGATTAGGTCAGTTACTTTTAGTGACTGATTCCTATGTCAATTTTTTTATTTTAAGATTTTATTTATTTGACAGAGAGAGACACAGCGAGAGAGGGAACACAAGCAGGGGGAGTGGGAGAGGGAGAAGCGCAGGGAGCCCGATGCGGGGCTCGATCCCAGGACCCTGGGATCACGACCTGAGCTGAAGGCCGAAGCCCAACGACTGAGCCACCCAGGCGCCCCCCTATATCAAGTTTTGCAGCTCTGCTTTAAGCCACGCCCCGTGGTGATGAGTGGTCCAGAGTTTGTTTCCCCCTGTTTCTAGCCAAGCAAGGGTTTGTGCATTTGCAATCGATGGGCTATTATAAGCAATCTGCATTTGTCAGCTCGCCCGTGGCTGGAGGCCAGGCTGAGGCGGTTCAAGGTGAAACGGCTTAAATGCAGACTGTGGCTCAAGGTGGATTTTCCAAAGCTTGGGTGGGCCTGGGCACGAGCATCTAAAAAGTTACTCAGGTGATTCTTATGTGCAGCCAGGATTGAAAACCACTGGAAGATCTTAAGGCTCTTGTAGCCCAGCCAGCCTGACTGATTTTGTAAGGGAGGTATCCAGGCAAACACCATGAGAGATGAGGCTAGGGGAGGTATTGTAGAGTCTGAAGGGCACAGGCTGAGAAATCTGTACTTAATTTAATAGGCAACAGGGAGCCAAGGAAGATTACTGAGCAGGATCTAAAGGGAGGCCATTTGAAGCATGCAGAGGGATTAAAGGGTCCAGTTTTTACAGCTTAGGAAATAGACTTTAAGTTTTCCTTTAGAGTAGGCTAACGAAGACATCCACTTTCTTTTACTTCTAAAGCCTCGGTTCAAGGTCGTTTCTTCCGCATCCAGGTCCTCTGGTTCCTGGAGAGTAGGCACCTGTCCAGATGATCTTTGCAGGTACCTGGCTCATGGCATGGAAGGTGTGGTAGCCTCCCACGGTCGGTTTGTTGACTGAGTAAATGAGCGCAGACCTCTAGAGACTGGCCGGCCTGGACTGCAGGAGGACTGGTACGCTGGGGGCCGGCCTCCCCTTTGCATGCAAAGCGGTGGGGGCTGTTCCTCTCACCTCCCGCCCCGCCCCCTTCCTCCATTTATCCTCATCGGCCTGCTCCCAACTCCCGTCTCCTCCCCGCTCGGTCCCTCCAGTGTAACGCACAGCCACCCGGACTCCCGGCTCTGGCGCCAGGCTTCAAACCTGTCCTTCACCCATTGTTCAGTTTCCGGTGAGTCAAGTTCAACCTCAGGTTCAACCCCGACAGTGGCGGCCACAGACACGTTCCCTCGCAGGCACCCCGGAGGAGGCGCCCGCCGCCCGCTGGCCGCCACCAGACCTACAAAGCCGGCACAGAAGGGCGTTTCTGTTCAGCGGCTTTCGGAGGCGGGGGTGCGAGCGCCGAGACCCCTCCCCAAGCGACCTGCCCCCTCGGCGAGGGAGCGCCCAGCCCTCGGCGGGCGTGGCCGCCCTGGTCCAGCCCCCGCCCCGCCCCCTCGCCTCCGCGCGAGTCCCCGCTCGGCCACCCGGCCGCCAGCCCCTCTCCGCGGACGCCCGGCCGCTCCCTCGCCGCCGAGCCGGGCCCCCGGCGATGCTCGGGATCCCGCCTCCCCCGGGAGCTGCGCATTTCCGCGCGCCCGGGCGGCCCCGGCTCCGGCCGGCCCTAGCGGCCGCAGCCCGCGCTTCGCGTCCCCGGGAAGTTGTCTCCGGAGCCCGCGGCGCCTGGGTCTCCTCCCCCTGAGCCCCGCCCCCCCCCCCCCCCCCCCCCCCCCCCCCCCCCCCCCCCCCGCCCAGAGCTGGATCTGCGAGCTGCCCGGCCCGGGGGCGTCGCCGCTTGCTCCGCGAAGCCTGCGAGTCTTCGCTGCCCCGCGCGGAGCGCGCGTCCCCCGCCTGGCCGGGGACCCCCCGCGCACCCCCGAGACGGCGCGCGCCCAGAGCGCGGGAGCCCGGAGCGCCGGGCGCCTGGGACCCCGCGGAGCCGCTGCCCAGCCCGCGGGGCTCGGCAGGGATGCAGGCTGCACTGTGAGCCCGGGCGCCAAGGCCATGTCCGGCGCCCGCTGCCGGACCCTGTACCCGTTCTCCGGGGAGCGGCACGGCCAGGGGCTGCGCTTCGCCGCGGGCGAGCTGATCACGCTGCTGCAGGTCCCGGACGGCGGCTGGTGGGAAGGCGAGAAGGACGACGGGCTCCGCGGCTGGTTCCCGGCGAGCTACGTGCAGTTGCTGGAGGTAAGGGGCGAGGGCCGGGAGACCCGGGGCCGCGCTGCTCGGCGCGCCCGCGTACCTGTTGCCCGCACCGGGGATGCCGGAGCCGCCCCTGTCCGAGGGGCGCCGCGGGGACGGCGGGGGGCAGCCGCTGCGCGCCCGACCCTGCGGGCGGCGGAGGCAGCGGGCGCCCCTCCGGGCTGGGCAGCGCGGGGATCGCCCCCGGAGCGCGCGTCCCCCCCCCTCCCCGCCCCGTGCCGGGCCTCCCGAGCACATCGTGGCCGCCCCGAGGAACGAGAACTTGTTGCCTGTGTGAGTTCTGGAGCCCGCGGGCGGGCGGGTGGGCGCGCTTCAGGCGGTGGCAGGGGCCGGCCGAGGGCTGCGGAGTCCGGCGGTCTAGGGAAGACGCGCCGAGGATCGGGGTCGGAAAAAAAAGTGGCATCGATCTGGCCCCGGAGCCCGGAGCCTGCCGACCCGGTGGACGGTCGTGCTGCCCCGGGTCAGGCTGCCTGGCCGCCTCGGAGCCGCCCACTTGCTGGTCAGCTGAGTCTGGCTGGCCACCAGCCCGAGACGCCCGCCGGATCCAGGGGTGCCGCAGCGCCCCTCCCCTGCTCCAGCTTCCCCAGGCTAAGGTCCAGAGCCTGAGAGTGGCCTGTTCCTGGGGTTCTGGCCTGCCCCCAGGACTGCGCAGGACCTGCTGAGCCAAGTCGGCTGGCTGTTTATTGTCTGGGTGACAGTTGGGAGGCCTCCCTGTCCTCTAATCGCTGAGCTCATGGTCACAGCCGGAGTGGGCTCCGAAGTTTCAAAAGTCCGGTGGGGGCGGGGGAGGGCGAAGGAGTGACCTCGTAGGACATCCCCTTTCGTAAAAAACTGCCCAACCCCAGGATCGTTGTACAGACTTCAATGGGCGGTTTACCCGCAATTGTGTTAAATATATATCAAACATTCTGCAGAAACACCTCCCAAATCACCGAGGCTGAATTTATTTATAATTTGACCCCTGACCTACTTCACAAAGAACAGAGTAGCAAGTTTCGAGAGAAATTGCTGGGTGGGTCTCAAAGAAAAAAAAAAAAAAAGAAAAAAAATGATGGATGGATGGGGCTGAGTGATTATGGGTGAGTTTGTAGAGAAATATCCTTTGGAAGTAGTACCAGAATGAGAGCCTGGCCTCCAAGAGGTACAAAATCCCCCCTAAATGGGTTAGTAGCATTCGAGCAAAATTTAGGCTGCAAGAGATTTCGTGGCCTGGCAGAAGAGTAGGTTCCAGAACCCTCGTGGTTCTGTGTTTTGAGAAACACGCGAGTGTCGGACGGGCTCAGGTGTGTCCCTCAGCTTCCCAGGTTCCTTTCCCGGGATTCAGATGTGCAAGAAAGCAAGTGTATCGCTTCTTAGGAAGACCTGCAGCCTCCCGGTTTCTGGCTCAGGAGCCCTGGGAGAGACTGCTGTTGTAGAGTCTCTGGTGGCCACACTTTTTCCAGGAAATCCTGATGTGGAAATTTGGCAGTTGGATGTCTGTCCGGTGAGGAGCATCCCTGGCTGGACGCAGCCAGCTGTGTTTTGGGTGGGGGCGAGGCTGGTGGGTTGGTAGGCTGTGTTCGCAAGAGCGGACCGGCTCTGCTTTTTCCTCTGGGAAAGCGAGGGTGAACCAGACCCAGGAGACAACAAGCAGAGTGATCCTCTGGGACAGTCTTGGGTAGATCAGTCACCGGCCTGTGGCGCCTACAAGCTTAGGAAATCTTTGGTGCTTAGTAAGGGGCTTTCAGACCAACTCCCAAAGGTGACGTGCTCCCGAAGGGCCCATCTGTGGGAGCCCTACCACTGGGAGGGTCTTCCATTTCTTGAGCACCTACTAGGTGCCGCGTCCCCTGACAGCTCTGTGAAGGGGAAGGCACCATCCCCGTTTCTCAGGCAAGCATGAGAACTGAAGGCATGTGCCCCAGGGGTAATGCTTGCATATTGGCTCAGCGGCTCAGATGGCTGAACGTTACCCTCTGTGACTGCATCTGTTTTAAATACGGCAACGTGGGCTCAAGTGCTAAAAGGCAAGTGAGGGAAAGGTCTGGATCTTTGTGGGGAAGGGCCGGTGCGGCCCTCCAGGTCAGCGAGCTGGTGACAGCATCCCTAAGGGGAGGCTGCACACGGGGGCCACGTTGAAAGCCCTGCTCCTTCCCACCTGCAGCATCTCTCCTGCTGACCCTGAAGGTTGCTTTCACAGGGAGGCTGCTGGCTTTCCCCAGGGTGGAGGCCGGCCTGGGCCTGAGCCCTGGGACTTTTCAGAGGCAGGATCGGGAGATCGGAGATCAGGCCCTCTGTGTCTGGGAACCTCGTCGGTGAGCAGGCTGGACCCGCAGGCTGAGGGCCAGAAAATAGGTGGGTGGAGTCCCTTGGAATGGGGTGAGTCCTCAAAGCCAGACTGGGTCAGGCGACAATGCGGAGCTCCCAAGGGAGTCGCGGGTGGTGGGCTGGCCAGTTTATGAAATCGGGAGTTTGGAGAAGCAGCGGCCGGGTGTTCATCAAGGCTGGAAGTTGGTGCAGCACCCAGGAGGCTGAGCAAGGGGCCTGGATGTGGACAAGCTCATGGTTTGTTGGCCAGCAGGTGCCTGGCCCTGAGCCTGCTGCGGGCGTGGAGATCAGAAGGCCAGGGGAGCAGTTGGGGAGACAGGTCCCGACAGAATGGACGGCACCAGGCTCCTGGGGGAGGAGTGCAATGGTGGGGGGCACAGCTGGGTGCTGCGGACCTTTGGCTCCTTGGTGGAAAGAGTGATGCCCAGAAGCCCCATCTTGGCGGAAGGGTACTACCGGTCGAGAGCAGGGTATGCAAGATGGACACTCCCCGAGGATTTCTTTTTGTTCGTGTGAAGAAAGGGGAACTGAGAGGCCTTGGCTTTGCCAGAAGCATACCTCAAGGAGAGGAGCTGGGAGCTAACTCTTGACAGGGTTGAGAGATCTGCCTTGGAGGCCAGCCAACCCCCAGGGAGGGACTGGCTTGGGGAGATTCTGGTTCTGGCTACCCCGGGGCGGGGGGGAATCTCTTGGGTCAGTCCTCCAAGGAAATGGTAGAAGGGTACAGCATATCTTTGGCTTCCAGAAAGCGGCCTCCCGGAAACTGTGAGCCCAAGGGGGAGAAGGGGGGTGGGACCCTGGTGGGGCCAAGGGCTGGCTGCAAGGGTCTGGGCTCCTCAGGGGATGGTGGAGCTTCCCAGAGGAGGAGAGCAGCACCAGGAGGAGGGAACCCCATGGCTGGGCAGGTCCGGTGACCTGCTCTTAACCTTGAATGGAGAAAAGAAATTCGGGACCTGGAAGATACTGGAAGGCATCCGCAGAAACGCCCCGGAACTTTTGGGAAATAATAATTCTGGAGGTAAATAAGATTGGAATGCAAACACAACAGAGCTTTCCTTGACTGAGGTGCTGTTCTTAGAAGCCACCATCTGGCTGTGGGGTGTAGAGCTCAGAGGCGCTAACAGTGGGACCCTGTTTGCCAGCAGAACCAGGAGGCTGCAGGGGGTCACCCTTGAACCCGGTCTCCTTCTCTCCACCTTCTGTTCTCCCATTTTGGGGTCACGTGATGTGCTGCCAGAACCTTCAAGGTGTGGCTGTGAGAGAGAGTTGCGGAGCTGGGGAGCTGGGCTGGGCTGTGGATAATTGAGGAACGATGGTTCATCTATTCCTGTGGAACAGGCCACCCCAAGACTTCATGTTGCAAAACACCCATTTACTATTACCTCACACGTCGCTGCGGGTCGACGGGGCTCTGCTGGGGGGTTCTTCTGTTGGTCTGTCTCGGCGGCTGTCATGCATTTGCAGTCAGATGGTGGAGGGGGCTGGGGTCCCCAAGGCAGAGCTGGCCTGGAACTCCAAAATGGTGTCTTCACTCCCATGTCTGGTGCCTTGGTGTTCTTCCAAGGGGGCCTTTCTCTCTGCATGGCGTCTTATCCTCCAGGGCCCTTCCACATGGCCTTCCTCTTTAGCAGGGAGTTCGAGACTTTCCACAGTGGCTGGCTTCCAGGAACGCAAAGTGCAAATTGCCAGGCCTCCTTAAGGCTTGGGCTCAGAATCGGCACATCCCTTCTGGCCCATTTTATTGGCAAAGTGAGTCACAAGACCAGTCGGGATTCTGTGTGGGAGGGAGGTGCCTACAGGTGTGGATACAGGTGTGGATACAGGTGTGGATACAGGTGCATTGCGGACCCTTTTGCAGAAGGGCAGGGAGAACACATCTGGGACAGCGATCCATTAGAGAGGAAACAGTGCTACTTCAGACTGATGAGAGAGAGAGAGAGAGAGCCCCCCCAGAGGGAGGTAAAGTGCAGGGGACTTGGCTCTTGTTCTGCTAGAAAATTCTCCTTTGCCATTCTCAGAGGAGGTTCTCTCCCTCTTTTCCTCTCCCTCTCTCTTTTTAAGATGCCAGGGATTTCTTCATAAAGGCCACCTGATCAATGTTGCAGCCGAATTTGAAACCAGATTTTCCTGTCCCTAAAGCCTGGGTCTGTCCACTGGGCCATTGGCATGGCAGGCCAGCCTTTTTGGGTGGCTGGGTGGGGGGCACTTTGGTGCTGGTGATTAATAGACACAGTGTATCCGAGCTGCCTGACACCTAGTAGCTGTTTGCTACGTTGCCCAAATTGATTTTAATCCCGGACCTTTCAGTTCTGGAACGTGAGAATTATCTAAGGTGGTGTGACCTTGTCCCTCACAGCAGGATTTTTTTTTAAGGCAGTTTTCAGCTCTGTTCACAAAGCCGTAATGAGGGAGGGCTGGGGGTGCCCAGAGGATGTGACCGTGACCCAAGGGACCCAACAGGCTTTCTGCCATCACCACTAAGTCATTGTGCCCTTTGATTTGGGGGCTGCGGTCCCCAACAGCTCCTGCTGTTTGAAAATCTGCCTTCAGCTCACCCTTCTGCCCGCCTCCACTCGGGAGAGCCTCCCCCTCTCGGCTGCTGTGCCCGTCTCTGGTCAAGTGGCCACCCCCCAGGACTTCAAAGCGGCGGGCAGGGCTTACGGATTCTGTGGATTCAG